GCTTTTTGTTCCTACCTTAGCAAACGTGATGATTGCACTGTACATAAGTGAAACGGTTACACTCAAACTCATTCGCCGATTTTACACCTGAATCGGTGCACTATTCCATGACGATTTCAAGCTGTCTTCCACATTCTGCACAGTCTGAACACTCTCATCTTCTGTGAATGCTCTAATCTTGCGATCGGTGTTACAGTCCAACCCCTGCTTCTCTAAACCTTACAAATATGAGAAAACGCCTCTTTGTACAGGGCCGCGAAACTTTTACAAGCAGCTGTGTAACCTCGTCTCATACAGTGACCAGCCCCATAAATTCAATCAGATAAGTCGAGAAGTTGATCGGGGCTATAGTGGCGTCATTGTGATTAAAAGAACGTGTGATGTTCGTGATGAAAACAAATTTTACTACTCTTCTCTGTATAAACGTCAAAAGTATTTTGAGTTGTCATGCCAGAAAGAAACATCCATTTTTCTAATTTGTGTTTACTTCTACTATTAAGAAAACCTCTGCTAAACTAAAGCACATTTGACCACACAACGAGCAATGTCGTTACAGTTACATAATGATGTGATGAACGGTATGAATCTAAACGATTTGGGAAGAACTCGCGCGAGCGCAAGAAAAAAGGATGACTTGGGCGGGACGTGTTACCGCGTCACAATATCTTCAATGTGCTAACAATAAGTTACCTTTAAGTAGGAGGTAATAGAAGGCGCTCACTTTTAGATGATGATAAAGAAAAATTGGCATTCATGCAGTCCACCAAAACTTGCAAAAAAAAAACAGGAAATCTCGAGCAAAAGCTGACCAATTTCATCAATAAAAATGATTGTAGGCTGGAACTTCTGCGCAACAGAGAACACTGCAGCCGCCAGCTTTTGGGATTCACCATACCACTTGTCCGTGAGGTTTGAGACTTGCAAATTAATGAACCTGAAATGCTTAGTATGCAATTTGTGCAAATGAACAGAAGTGTTCAAAGACAACATGAAAGTAAGAGCTCGGTGATGAGGCCATAATTAAAGATCGATTTGAATGAAATAAATACTGAACGTCCGAACATGTCGGAACCCATTTCTTCTATTATACCTGCATCCAGCAGCGCGAGCGACCGCTTTTGCCAAAAGAGTCTTTCCACATCCCGGTGGACCATAGAGGAGAATTCCTAAAAAAGAAGTGTATAGTGAAAAAACTTCTAGAGCAGAGCTAATGAGTTTCGACTGTATGTTCGTTGAAATACTCATGAACTGGCTTCCGCAAGCCTCAAAAGCAGTAATGTTATGAAGATAATCCCTTCACAATCGAAAAAATGAAAACTCAGTGAATACCGAATCATCAATCCTTCGTAAACCTTCAGTCTTGGAGTCGAGGTCTTTAACTTCACGTCTCCACTTCGGATAGGACGACTACTTTTCCCATGAAACAGACAGAAGCGCAACTTGCACGATGCAACACAATTTCTCCTAACATCTTCCCACATACACGAAGAAACCCTTAGATATGGCAGTGCTGATCGTACAGGATTTCATCCATAGCTGCAAAAAATGAACTCCTGCCTCAGAAAGCAGTTCTGGGTCAACTGTAGGCGTATTAGAGTTGATGTGCAACACAATGTTCTGGGTTTCAGTATAGCCGACTAATTACTTACTATTACGCCACACGAAGAGAAGTTTTCGCACAATCAAGGGGAAAACTTTCCCATTCGCACAACTAACTAAGGCTGAAAGAACTCGCACAGCAAAGCGACATTTGCTAAGGACTGAGATGACATAAGAACCAACTATTATTCGACTGGATTGATAGTAAGGAGAGGACTGAGGGTTTTAATTTGGTGTATACAAGTATTGAATCCCGCACCTAACCGCGTTGGCATCGATCTGGTCAACAATGAACGAGTAGAGCACAGCAATAATGTTTGAGCAGCTAAGTCAGAGGGGAAGGTCATACGATACCTGTAAGAGCTAAGTCAATACTGCTCAGTGTTCAAAGAAAGTGCACTTGTCGAAGAACTAGTTTCGACTCAAAACACTGCTAACTCGTAACGAGATTAAACCAGATCGACGCTTGTTCATAAAATCTGCGTGCGAGTGCAAAAACAGCACAATCGGTGAAAGTAGAGTAGCACCTTCACTTTCTCATATCGAGCAGAACTCACAACTTCTCAGTATGGACCATGCTTTTCATACCTTAGGAAGCACTTGTTCGCTATACAAATAGAGACAATTCTTTTGAATTGGTTCCCTGAATAATCTATAATCGAAAGGAGCCTTTTCAAAGTAAACCTTTTGGTGGGCAAAGGAGTTCAGAATCCGACTCAGCAGCAATCTGCAGAGGAAGGATGATTCGATCTTTCATATCCGCAATGAGTTCATCACATCCACCTAAGTGAAAAAAATTTGCAGGTAGAAACTTATTACTAGCTCTCCAGACTGTCAAATTCTTCGAACAATACCCTTATTGAGCAATTTGCATACCAATATCGTCCCATTCCGCCCCGGCGTCTTCTCCACCGACGAATTGAGTTGCAATTCGCAGCTCGTGTTCATTGAGTTCAATTTTTTCACTCATTCCTAGTTCTTGAAAAAGCCGTGCAACCTGCAACAGCATGATCATTTATTTATTTGTGCTTAGAAATTTTATTGGTAACACTCATGGTCTAGGTAAAATTAATCGTCAGATTATCTTACCAGGAAAGTCTCTCAGGACTTAGAGCGCTTATTCAAAAGCTTTTTTTGCATGTTTATAGAGGCACGGTAAGGGAGCATAAAACTGAAGATCACTTTTTCTGGGGAATGCCAAAAAAAACATGTGGAAACCAGGGTTTGTGGTTCGATCCCCACTGAAGACAAATTTTTGCATTTCTCTGACCTCAACTTTCTTGGCTCACAATTGTCTAAAGGTATTGAGTGAATGAGCTTCCAATGCAACTATTCAACGCTAAAGAAGCTGGAGTTTATTAGAATGGAATATTTCACTTCCTGAGAAAATTTCTGCCCTTTCTCGAAATCCTAGGCCGCTCAGAAAGAGGATCATCAGTACTATGGTCCACACACGTACCCATATACCATAAACAAACCAGTTTTCGAAAAGCGCTCGCCCTGAAAGGCTTTCCTGGTTAGGGCTCATCCAGTGTGGGGAGCGGCAGTACGTATCGCATAAACCGATCGTTTTTCGCAGAGGAAGAAATCACGAGAGAGTGTGTTTGAATCGAAAGCGGAATGGTTCACGCATCCCAGGGATTTGCCCCCCCCCCCCCTTGGGAATTGGCAACTACCGCCTCATATGCTCCCTTACTGGATGAGACCCTACGTTCATATTCTGGTAACTGCTGATTTCTCATTATCTACCAAAATGTCAGCTGTTAAATTTACTTATAAAAAGAAATTTTACTTAGCACCTACAAGAGTAAATTAGGAGATGCTTACACGTTTCTTGTTCTCTTCACGGCTGGCATACTGTGGGTCAAGGAACTTCACCATGTAGCGCACAGTGAAAAACGACAAAGCAGCAGCGGCAGCAAGTCGAATACATATTGAAATGACTTCTGCTCTATCTGACATGAGTCTGAACTTGGTTTCGTTAGGAACATAGAAACATTCGTTGTGAACGTAGAACAATCTGGACAATCAAATCTGCATTGTAGGAAACACCAAGTGGATTACATCGATATCAATCCTTTTCCTTTCAATTTATTCAAGGATGATAAAGATGTATCAGCACGAATACAGAGTACAATCTATTACTACTCCAGCCCCTATCCATGTCATGGCTTAAAACATTGCTTTTAGTGACGAGCAAAATAATTTTGCAGAAATGTACGCTCCATACGAGAAAAAAGTAGAATTTCTGCCTCAAATTTAGGGATTAGTCCCCAACAGGAAGCGTACGGCCCCAAATGGGTATGCCAACAATTTATCGAAGCCGGAGGGACGGCCTGTTCGGTGCCAAGGTGCTAACTCATGACCCTTTGCGCTGAACGCACTGCAGTTGCGGTCGAAGGTCTTCGCCAAAACGACTTGCTCGTGGTCTGCTTTTCCTT